AAAGATTTTAGGGTTACCTCTTCAGAGGGGGAAATGTTGGAGGGGAGGGAGTGGGCATGGATTTGATCAAAACACCTTGTATGCATGGATGAAATTCTCAATAAAGTTTTTGTAAAAGTTAAAAAAAAAAGCAAGATAGTAGAGGTAGAGACAAATCCTGTTACTAAGGAGGCAGGGCCACTGGGGAATAGGTTGGAGCTTAAGGAGGAATCATGTCCAGTGAGAGTCTGACGCCTCCCCACCAAGGGACAGTCGTACTTTTTCCAAGGAACTGAAGGTCATCGAAAATGAGAGGATTACTGAAACGGGAATATTACGAAAGAGGCAAATGGAATGGGATTTGAAGTCAGATAGGTGAAATGCTGTGGGAAAAGAAATCTGAGGTTTCAAGTTCGATCTTGGGTGGGGAAAGGGCAGGTGAGGCAAAATAGCGTTCACCAAATTGCTCTAGCCTTGATCTTCCCAGTAAAAGGAAGAGGTGATGAGTTTACTCGGTGACACTGCTTCACAGACTTCAGTGTTTATAAAAATACGCAGAGAGTTGGCTGAAGACCATCTCCACTTTTCCGTTTTCATTTGGTTGGTAGGAGGTAGAGAATTAAGATTTTTAATTTGATTATCCCAGATGACTGTACCCAGGTTCAGGGATCAAGGTTAGGCTAGCAGTAGTGCAGAGCAAATGCTTTGTAACTTCTACCAGAAGAATAAATGAAGATGGAGATGAATGGCAGGTCCCTGTGTAGCAGGCAGCAAAGCCCATTGGATGCTAAGCATCAAAATATTTAGTCTTGCCAAGCTTTTGTGATTGTCTTCAGTAGCTCTCTAAAGCCTGTAAGCTATGTGTGTAAGCCTGTTGCTGGACCTAGGCTTAGAAAGTCCCGTTGCAAAGAAGTCCACAGGAGAAAAATATCCAGGAATTAATGAGAGAAACAACAGGTCAAGTTCTGTAGTGTGCAAGACACAGTCAGGAGGAATTGGGCGGCTGGGTAAAACTGAAGGGATCAAATGCTTGAAAACCTCCTGTGCCGGGGGTACTTGTGAGGAGTAGCAGGAAAATTGGTCCTGTTCAGAGATGGAAGGTCATTAGGAAGGTGAAGCTATTTAAAAAGAAAGAAGTTTTATAAATAGGATTTAGAAGTGGGGTTATTAAGGAAAGGTGGGTTTTCTAATAGAGTGAGAAACAGTCAATAATTAAGATATCTCACAGTGGGGTAGGAGCGGGGTTGCAGAAAAACTGTGGGACACCTAGCCAAGTTTGAATGTCAGACATGCAGGGGTAATTTGGGCCATGTCCATACTCAAATTATTAATCTGATACTTGAGCTTGACTGAACAAGTTTCCTGTAATTTTCTACAAAATCTGGCAATCCTAGTAGGAAGTGATGTTGTTACTATGGTAAAGAAGAGGGTAAGAGGTTGGGAGAAGCTGGGCATGCCTGTGCAGTGTGGCAGACTCCCTCCAGAACGAGTTCAAAGTCACACCAAGGGCAGGTTATTGATCTGGAGTGCGGCCAAGAGTCACTGGAGTGAGATGAGCATGAATGGGAGGTGGGAGGCTCCCACTAGGATGGACTCTGCCAGGATCATCTAACAGTTAAAGAAGGTGATTTGCCAACAACGTTATCGTTGCTTCTTCATAGTAGCTTCTGGAAGGTAATTCTTGAGTTCAGAATCAGTAGGAAGACCTTTGGTTCTAACTTGACAATTTGTAACAGTTTACCTCTGTAGTTTCACCCTAACTTCTTCCAACCTAGTCTAGATAAGAGGGAGAATAGATGAATAGATGTGGTGTCTCTCCGTGAATGCATTTTATGATGCATTGCACAGAAGTTTGTCAGAATATCAAAACAGAACAAAACCTTAGGTTCTGTTAGAAAACTAGGCAGATACACGCTAAAATGTCATTTTCAGTACAGAGCTTCTTACTACATGT